GTTTCACTGCCATTAAGTAGGACGGGACGAACTGCTGCGTAGTGAACACGTCCTTTTGTTGATAGACGGATAGCTCGCCTACGTCATAAATAACGCAAGTTGGCAAAAGCTAGTCGAGCCTTCTGTATCTGTGCTGAGATTCCGTCACACACCAGACCACAAGGGCTGATGAGACTTCCAATATAAGTGTAGCGGTCGACATACTCAACTACCTCACTCCCTATCACTAGTTCGTGTGTCGATGTAACCCAATCCTGAAGTAACATTTTGCATTTTGAGGGAGAGAATCGCATCCCGAACATGCTTGCATTGTTGCTTAGAGTGGTTAGAAAACTCTGCATTTTGTCATCGTCTTCACCAAGTAAAACTATGTCATCAGCATACTCTAAGTCAACAAGTGAACCTCCCGGTAGAAGTTCAACCAGTGGAAATTTAGATGAGGAGAGTGTTATCTCTTAAAGTACATCGACCACGAAGTTGAACAAGAACACCACTTGAGGTAATCAACTCCGATGACAGTTCGCCACAAGCTCTTACTCTACCAGTTGTGTTCGAGTAGAGAGCCTGAATAAGTTTAATGTACTTCTTTGGTACTCCTTTCAGTGACAAACACTGCCATAAAACTTCACGATCAACAGAGTCGAATGCTGCCTTGAGGTCGAGAAATACTACGATTGTGGGGTGTCTGAATGTGTTTACAATTGCTTGATCACTGGGTGTTGATCAATTTCTTGCTTGTCTAGTCCTTATTAGTGCAGATCGCATGCTATCGATCATGTTGCAATGTGGCCATCAGTCTAGGTGACTCGACACTGCGGGCACTATGTATTGGGATTAAGATGGTGGTTGGAGGTAGTCAACAGGAAACCCTGAACCCGGATTTCGCGCTACTTAGCACTCGTCTGCAAGGTGTACCTGTATTCTTGAGGGAACTGGTGCTCCCTGGCGGATTCGATCTCGTGTCACCCAGCTTCACAGTCAGAGTCGTTACCACTGAACTATCCGAGCCGTGACTAAACTCCTGTAGGACTGAGATGTAACTACAATTGAATGTGTGTCTGTATGTGTGTCTGTGTACTAGAACCTGACGTAGTGTGAATATCTGATCTATACAACCACGTCCAGGTGAAAAACCGGCTTGTATTTCTCTAATCTGCTCTTCATGAGCTTTGATTGAGCATCGAAGTATTATTGAGGCTATTATTTTATAAGAAAGAAAGATTAGTTCAGCGAAGAGTTCTCTTTTCAGCGAATTCATTTTCAAAGCTGTACAATCGCAAATATGTTTACTTATTTTTACAGGGTGATAATATTACTGATAATAAACTTATGATATTCATGGTGACAGTGAGGTTGAATAAACAAAGGTATTATAAAAAAAATTTTTTGAAAACAAAGAAAGTTTGGTAGTTAATGGCTTAGATGTTCATCGAGTAAGGGTAGCTCAGCAAGATGAAATAACATAAAATGTTGAAACAGAGATGAAATGTAATCGGAATGATCGTGGAAATAAAAATAAACTGGTTTGGGGGGTACAAGATTTGAAGGGAAGATGGAAGGTGAAGCCGATAGCTGTAAAAGAATAAGAGTAATGAGAAAGAGAAACATTTTTTAATACCTTAAGACTATGGTAAAAGAACATGTTGTACCAGTCTCTTTTGTACACATAATTCTGGTTTTTCAAAATGTATGGCTATTGCCTCGGCAATGCAAAGAAGATGCAGTCTAATTATCTGAGGAAGGCTTCTACTTACCTTGTAGATGACTTTGAACGCAGAGTCTGTCTTGATTGAGTGACCTGTGTTCACAAGGTGTTCGATAATAGAACTTCTTATTGAGCCGCTGCCTGCTCTTCTTAGCCACGCTGGACAATGTTCTTGAATTCTTTTGGATAAAGTACGCATCGAACGACCTATATACCTAGCTCCACAACAGCAGGTAAATTGGTAAATGCACATTGAGTTGGTCAGATGCGATAATTTATCATTCAGATTATTGGTGAACAGTGATCGGCTGGAGAATAATATTCGCAATGTTGCTGCGAAGAATGTTCTTCTTAAAGAATCAGAAATTCTCCTCTTTAAGATATATGCGGCTCTATCACCTTTGAAGTCGGTGTTCATGTATAAAATTTTCTTTTCTACTGCCATTGTTTGTGGTCTTGGCATTTTCGATTTCATGTTCCTATCAATGAATATAGAAGGATATCCGTTTTTGATAAGTATCTCTTTTAAAAACTCAATTCTTCATCTACGAACTCGTTGCTACAGATTCTTCGTATTCTTGTGGTGAGAGTTATTATTAAGTTTCTTTTTGGGCTGATGGGAACCCAACTGTGGAAATTTGATAGTTGGCCATTCCACATGGATTTCCTGTAGATAGACCTTTTTAAAGTACCATCATATTTTCTTTGTTATTATATTAGCCTCAATAATACTTCGATGCACAATCAAAGCTCATGAAGAGCAGTTTAGAGAAATCCAGGCCGGTTTTCTCTCTGGACGTGGTTGTATAGATCAGATATTCACACCACGTCAGGTTCTAGTACACAGACACACATTCATACGCTCCAAAATCGTAGTATTTCTCGACCTCAAGGCAGCATTCGACTCTGTTGATCGTGAAGTTTTATGGCAGTGTTTGTCACTGAAAGGAGTACCAAAGAAGTACATTAAACTTATTCAGGCTCTCTACTCGAACACAACTGGTAGAGTAAGAGCTTGTGGCGAACTGTCATCGGAGTTGATTACCTCAAGTGGTGTTCTTGTTCAACTTCGTGGTCGATGTACTTTAAGAGATAACACTCTCCTCATCTAAATTTCCACTGGTTGAACTTCTACCGGGAGGTTCACTTGTTGACTTAGAGTATGCTGATGACATAGTTTTACTTGGTGAAGACGATGACAAAATGCAGAGTTTTCTAACCACTCTAAGCAACAATGCAAGCATGTTCGGGATGCGATTCTCTCCCTCAAAATGCAAAATGTTACTTCAGGATTGGGTTACATCGACACACGAACTAGTGATAGGGAGTGAGGTAGTTGAGTATGTCGACCGCTACACTTATATTGGAAGTCTCATCAGCCCTTGTGGTCTGGTGTGTGACGGAATCTCAGCACAGATACAGAAGGCTCGACTAGCTTTTGCCAACTTGCGTTATTTATGACGTAGGCGAGCTATCCGTCTATCAACAAAAGGACGTGTTCACTACGCAGCAGTTCGTCCCGTCCTACTTAATGGCAGTGAAACATGGCCGGTAAGAGTAGAGGATATTCGTAGGTTACTAGTATTCGATCATAGGTGTTTTCGAAACATTGATCTTATATCTTTGAACTATCGAGTAAGCAACACAGTTGTTAGAAAACGGGTACTAGGTAAGGATGGCAAATCAATTGATGGCGTAATGAAACTTCACCAGTTGAGATGGCTGGGACACGTTTTACGTATGCCCAACCACAGAATGCCCCGATGTGCTATGTTCAGTTTTAAAGTAGTAGGTTGGAAGAAAGCTAGAGGCGGCCAAACCAAAAAATGGCACTAGTCCATGTAGTCACTGACAAGTGGACTGAGTCATGTTGGTAGGTGTAGACTACCTGGTTGGAAACCACGAGATGATAGCAACCAGTGGTTAGAGACCTTTAATGACATGGCTCAAAATCGTTTTCAATGGCGCAGGTGCATACATTCTTTGTGTTCTCTCAAATTCTAATCTTCTGAATTCTTCATGTCCCATTTTTCCTCTTTCCAAATTTATTTCACTGGATTACACTCTTTAAATAACACCTCCGAACCTTAATTCTGCCGATCACTGCTTATACTTTTGCTACATCTACCACTACGGGATTTGAATCGATAACCGCATCTCCGTGTTAATGTGGTGTAACAACTCGAACTGATGTACGTACGAACAAACTTTGAAATGTTCTAACCACAAATTTATACTAAACAACAAATAATTAGGCAGAAAATAAAGCTCAAATCGATACTTTAAGCATGATCAAGATAATATCCTGATTATGAAACTAATTGAAAATGCAGTCAAATGCACTCAATAAACAAAACAGATTACTCCCTGTCCTCTTTCTTGGCTGTTGGTATAATGATTGAAGTCATAACAACTCTTATGAAATTTCAGCTAGTTACTAGTTAATCAGAATGCAGCTTTTGTAAATCGATAGGTTATAATAAAGAAAACAAAATAACACTGGAACGTGTAGACAAATTCTGTGCATTTGAGAAGTCTATTCAATTAATTATAATACTTACTCTGTAAATTGAAAGAAACCAAAGTCATATACATCCATCCTTGTGGATATAAATACTACATATGACTCAAAAACCTCGAAATTATTTATCATTAGGGTAAGGTATTAATGGTTAGGACTGGCAATCACGAGTTTGCATGGGATATAATACAAAACATTTCCTCCAAAGAAATATGGATGACAGAATTTCACTCATCCAAGAGGCCATAAAATATAGTGTCAATATGTAAATGTTTGTTTCAGCATTAAAGGATTAAGATTAGAATGTAAGGACAGTTTTTGGTTTACTCAGTATTCACAATACACGGAGGAAAAACTTTTTATATAATACATTTTACACTGTGGCAAAATTAATATTTCGTTATGAGTTTGAACGAATACAAAAGTATGTCTAATATTGGTGATGCGTGATAAATGTATTTTGCACAAAAACCTACAAGTCATGTTTTCTGTATTGACTGGCTTTTCCCCATACTATATCTATAGTTTGAGGTATGTTGATGGGCGTAGACTACCTGGTTGAGATAAAAGTGACTAATGTGACTAATGGTTGGAGACATTTTTAACATGGCTCAGAATCAGTGGAAACAGTGATGGGATTTATCTTGATCATTTCATCATGTTGCATTGATATGATCTGGTGAGCTGAACCGATACACGCTGGTGCTAGGTTCTACGTTGCTTGTGATAATTTTTTGCAACAAATATGATTTGAATGGATAAAACAAATGAAATTTAAAAACCAGGTAACTCACTCATATTTGTGGTTGATTTAGTCAAACTTACTTCTTTTATCCGTAATATAAATATCGCCAAATTGTCTTTGTTCAGTAGACGATCATAATTATATTCACGATGACCACTATCACCGTAGCTGCTAAGAGAATCATCATCATTAATAACTGTATATTTGGTTGCTGCAATTTCGTGTGCCGGTAAATGGAACTGATGATTTGATTTGGGATTACACATTGCCTCAGCTAAGTGACTTCTCCATTTTGAACCTATTTTCACTATTTCATTATAATCTAAGCTGATTTAATAACTATCAATCTGTTCAGGATCAACATTATTTCCATGTTATATTCGTGTTACAAGGGCTATTTGGAAAGAAAAACAAAATTTGTAAAATGGAAATATAATGAAAATAATAAAACCATTAGTCCGATAGTCAACCAGTAAGAGTCAATATAAAGCCTGACACAAACGTTCGATGGCCTTAGTTACCATATCACATTGGTATAACGAGACGAATAGGCTGATACCACATTTTCGTTTGGTTACCGCGAATTTCTTCCAAGTTATTCCTAAACGAGCTAACCCTTTCCTCCTAGATAGATGAAGGTTAAGCACACGTAAAAAATGTCTCGACCGCCTCGATTGATTAACCTATGTCTGAAGATAGTATGTTGTAACGTGTAAATGCTGCTGATGGCAGTTTAGTGAATTATCGATCGATTTAAAGACGCGTAAAGACGTAAGAACGGCCTGGAGTTCTGACTGGTCCCGCTCCCCTGTATAGCTCAGCCAGTTAAGTCCAGAACGCAAGTTTAAGCCTCAGCGACATGAATCATATTACTTCAGACATACTCTGTTTATATCAAACAGACAGCATCAAACCATAAAACAGAAAACAACATTGTACAATACTTGACAAGTGAAATGAATATTGACAAATAGGAAATGTCTATTTAAAGTTCAAGAACACCATTAGACGTAACAGGATAAATATTGCGATATTTTTCTGAATACCCCAACATAGCAATAATGAGAAATCTTAAACTCTTAAAAATAAAGCTCATAGTTCAAATAATAAATGAGTTCCGAGTTCAATCATTTCAATAGTAACATTTCGAAATAATAAAATTGATAACTCAAATTCGAATCTACCAGAGGGTATCAGTTCTATCAAAATTGCAAGTATGTTTCGGTACCAAGTACTGACCCGAGAACAAACTAGTTCAAGAAGAGTTCTTTTTTGATGACTAATTTCAAATACTTAGTATGAAGAATCGTTGTTAAACTTGTAATGTTAATAGCAGAAGGTATTTTGTGGATATTATAACAATTTTAATGGTTGTGGTCATGAGTCAATCGAAGATAAACCATAATGAAAAACGTGGAAACACTGGACGGCCATTGTGTCCTGTAGTGGAACTCCTCAGCAGTGCGGATCCACGACAAATGTTCGGGAATTTAACCATTTAAATACAATTAATTTAAAGTCTTGAAGTGATACAACGAGCAAAAATATCCCAAAATTTCCTCTAATTCATTTTGCGGTTTTGCATCAGCGAACGACTATTTAAACATGAGAACACGTTATATTCCTGTAACACAACTGGCGCTCAACAAACCTACAGCAGCTGAAATACGAAAATGCCACTCGTGTCAGTCCTTTCAGAGCGATTGGAATGAAACGGAAGGTGGCATTGAGAAGATTTGACTTTTTTTACCGTGCCGTTCTATCTGCACCATGCTAATTATTAACACAGAAGCATATAGATTAACTGTATGTTGAGTTAGTCATGTTATATCTATCAAACGACTCCATATCAGGTGACTACTATTGTGAGTATTAGCATTAGTACTGTCATGACTATTACTATAAAGAGGTCACTGTTTGGGTGACATGAGATCAAGCTTGTCGTTTCGTCTAGGTTGGTGGTGGACTGAAGTTTTCATTTATTGGTTCAGTTTTATTTGTCATGATACACTTGTTTATTGTTATATGAATTCAACAATTCTCAACGATGTACTTCTCGACACTCAAAAGGTTTCATTGAAAAATATGAAACATTGAGAAAGAGATTTTCGACTAGTTCAAAGCCCTTTAGGTCCATATTTCTGTGTTAACCTCGTTACCATCACAACGCATTTATTAACCAAAGTTGGCTAAACACTATCGGGCCTTTATTGCTTATTTATGTGGGGTTTTGCTCATACGTCACATGCATGTACTGTTAAGTGCTAATTGGCATTTATGACTTTACCGTTCTGGTTAAAATATCTTATACAAGTAGGCGGTTTATAAAGTATTAAAAAGAACATGCACAACGATGTTCGAAGCGTCCAGTATTTAGATAATGAGTTTGGTTTCAGTTAATGGAATCAAAATTGTGAATAATTCAAAATAAACCGAACTTGTGTTTTTTAATCAGCTGTAAATGTTACTGTCTTGAGTGTTCAAATGATATCCATTGAATGACTGTTCGAGATACATTCTCTTCATGTTTACGATTTAAGGTAATTTCATGAAGAACTTGATGAATGTGGTTCACACTTAACTATTGAAATCCGGTGTTAACCATATTTTTCGGAATTTTATAAAATCGTTTCGTGTGCTTTGATGATTTTAAAAGACGACAAACGAAAGCTCTGTTCAACTATTCCCAGAGAGATTATGTTACGTGTTTTACCAGATCTCATAAACTCTACAGTATGATCGTAAAGAAAGTCTAAATCACTACCTATCGGCTGGATATTTGTATCATGAAATTGTTCACTATAAATTGGTTTGTACGAACAAAGTCGCCTCGAGGCACTGATTTTATGTGAACGCGAACGCTTTCCATTTTCAGATCCTCTCTTTGGTGACGGTGGTTTTTAGATTATGAACCCTTCCAAACATGAACTGTTACTTGAGCAGCGGCTGAAATTGATTCAAATGTTGACGGAGAAAAAGGTTACGCCTCCCTCAAAACCAAGCACATCTAGTTCAACCACGGCATTATCAGTAGATGACATCGCAAATAAAATGGCTGAATTCCATTACGATGCAAAACGTGTGAGGTTATTGGTCATAGGATGGGTTTTGTCTGGGGAAGAATAATCTTAGTCAATCCACAAGTAACAAAAGACCCTCCCTACACCCTGCATCAATTATTTGAGCTTAGTATCTTTGTGTCAAAGCTCATCAACAGGTGAGAGAAAATTTATCACTGTTAATATTAATGGGCATTCATCTAGATCGTGATCCGGCGTTTGTTGAGGTATGTTACATAACGCAAACTGATCTAAATTTACTCCGTTTAAATTGATTAGATCAGTTAAAAGTAGCTGATGTTCCGTTGAATACCATATGCAACCTGGTGTCACAACCCAACTACGACAACAACCACATGATTCGGAAGCATATACGAAGAACTTAATGACTCAGTTTTCAACTATTTTTTAACCTGGATTGGGTCAAAGTCCCATCAGTTTCTTGTTCACAACCTTATCATCCTTGGTCGACGATACAGGTCGAATTTGTAGGACCGAATAACGGAGGAGTGTTGATGAAGATAGATCCGTAAAACTCATATTTTGTAATTTTATTTTTGTGAAGCTTGTATGCAGATGTACGCGTTGGCAATTCCTACCACTCATGCGCACAGTCGATTAACGAACTTGTCGATTAAATTTTCAAAATCTTCCATGGCAATATTGATTACATGTATTTGTATAAATACACTTGATTTGTATGCCTGAATGACATGGCATTTTACGGTTGAATGTGTGATACACTTTATGTATCTTACCAAGACTTCTGGATCGACTTATCTGTGTCGCGGACAACGGACCAGTATTACCTATTGAGTCTCTAGTTGCTTGATTCTTCGTTCCGTTCCGAGTAAGCCGAATGAGTAGTAGCATTCACGCCTAACGAACGTAACATTATCTGAATGCATACTGGACGACCCATAACTCTGGACCAACATTGCAGTACTTTGAGCTTACGCAAATGTTTTCAACTATGATTAATCCATAAAATAACTCGACCATAGAAATTAAACGACTGATGTCATGTAAGGATCGATAAGCTTCTGTGAATTTATTGTAATTAAAAGATATTTCTGAACAGTCTGACAGGATAATTGGGAAAGGATATGATTTGCAGTACTCCTGGTTCATTTAAAACTTGCAATAATTCGTTATTACTCCGTTCGATAATCGTAATGTTTCACATTATATACTTACAATATTATACTAGTAACATGTTAATGAAGTGCACTCATAATTTGAATGCATGTTAGTATGCTACATCAGGATTTTCATGAACTGTCTGTCCGTGTCTATTTCGATTGGTCTCTTTAACGATAAGACATTCAAAGATCAATATATGAACAAATAATATTTTTTTAATAACATTGTACACAAACTATATGGAAATAAATTCGAAAATCTCATGTGACTAGTTTGTAATTGATTTATGCAACTCTTTCTTAGGCATGCGAATGAGGTAAAACTAAGTGAGAAATGATATATATGAACGAAATAGCGCTAGGCAAATCGTATTTCACAAAAAGATGTCTGTCTTAGTGCAATAGCTAACCCAGCATAAAATTAGGAACATGAGTCTGAGTGTTGAGCGTAGGAAGACAATCTATATCACAGATTGACTGAATTAATCATAAAGAGCCTGATACATCCAAAATGTTCTGCCCCAGAAATACAGGCAGACTGAAGTCATCGCCCTCACCATCAATGCTTGCTGGTTAGTAACTCCAACCTCCCTCCTTTTGTGATGTTAGGATCCTTTAGGCTCTGTCTTTCACATCCTGTTGGAAAACTCTATTTCTATAAGTATCATTTAACAAGGATATCAGGCAGATACAAGTTATGGACTGTTGCTAAAGCATGGATATATTGCTTTAATAGACCATAGTATAAAGTATGGTTGGCCGATCACAGTATAAGCATTAAGAAGGGTATAATGTTGGATAGTTGTCGATTAAAGCAGGTGCAAAAGTATTGAAGTATATGAGTTGTAGATATATTAACGAGTGGAAAAATAATATTAATAGCTAGTCAGTATAGTGTACAGAAGAGTAAAAACCAAAAAAGAAATTAACGGGCAGAAACTCACACCAACTTAATGCTGATGTTATTTTGTGTTGTCTTAATCGATTGATAGGTAAACGGCTATATAAATGCAAAACGACTAGTGGTAGGCAGTCGATAGTGCGGTTCATTTGACTTTTTAGGGTGGTATTGAATGTCCCTTGGCGAACGAGATTAGTTGAACAGTATCGATAGATCCAGTGAGTTACTTGTCTTCCACAAGTGAAGAAACTGGGTGGAGAAAGTAACTAATACAACTGCAAAGCAGAAAAAATAAGGCAAACTGAACTTGAAGTCGATTTTCATCTAAACATCGAGAGAGCCTCTTATGTTTAAGCGGGGCGCAGATGTGTTCGTACATGCTAGATCAGTACCACTGAAGGCTTGATCAAGCAGTTTTACAAACGTATATAATTCATCAGCCATGCGTATTTCGGAGGAAAAATTACTCCATATTACTGCATACTTGCTGAGAAAGAGGTTTTCCTGAGATTTTTATCTGCGTTTCTCAACTTTGACGGTAGATACTTTGTTTCGAAGTTCGTATTCATGAATAAGTCGAGTAAAAAATATTCGACATGTTGAATAAGTAAGGTTTCTTAATTAGTTCGAAGTAGAGTCATATATTATACCTAAGCCTTCTCCTTCAAAGGGGTTCTAATGCTAAGGTTTGGCATCGAAAACTGTAGTCAATGACCAGTTCTGTCTTGAGTATTTTGCGGGTAATGTCTTGTTGTATTCCTTACACCTTTAGTATACCAGATGGGCGTAGGTTGAAAAATAAGCACGAGCAGTATTCAATGATAGGTTTTACACAAACTTTATGAAGAAGGATTTCAGATTCATTGTGATAGAAATCACGGAGAATGAAACCAAGCAATTTCCTCATTTCAGATGCTTTGGCTAAGATGTGTTCAGAGAAGTTAAGACTGTGTGAGTAATGTACCTCTAGTTCAGTTACTGATGCTAGTCTGAGCAGTGTGTTGTTGCTAAATTCAGAGTACAAACATTGAATTTATTGATGTGCATTCGTATTGAATCTACTGCATATAAGAGCCGAATTCTGAAATCGTAGGGTAGAATCCGTTATGTTTCGTTAATAACTTCGAACATCGGAGTTTTCTCTCATGCGGTAACCAGTAATGATTTGGTGATAGAACTCCTTATCACTTTGTTTTGTTCCTTGCGCAATCTTGTGGGTATAATTGCTGGTAAAGATATTGTAGTACAATCTTATGTTTGTTCGCGTGCATAAACTCTGGTAGTTGTGAGGTATTTTACTTTGTCTGGAGACGCCTGCCTATACACTGTGCTGTGCCGTACTTTCTCAACTTTCCACCTCATATTTACTCTACCTGGTTGTTCATAATTATTGTACTGTGATGAAACAACAAGAACACTAACCATAGCAGTTGGTATATTTGAAGCAATCAGAAAGTAAACGTACTTGGTTTTGCTTGTCTAAATATATATATATATATATATATATATATATATATATAATATATATAATATATATATTTGTCATTTTTCATGCTAAATATGTATGTCTTTGCAGTACAGGCCGTAATGTACATACTGTTTTTATTGATGTCGTCTTCTTTTAAGTGGCGATGGTATTGTTTTACTCATCGTCAATTACTTTGTCGCATCAAACATTCCATCAAAACTGCCATGATACAATAATCTTCATTCTTACACAAAGGAGTAAGTAGTGGTTTTCCCGATGACGAGTCACAAACAGGGAGAAAAGCACATCATGGATTCCATTGCTAGCCACCAGCCATTTTTTCTTATAAAGATTGAGTTTTATTGCGTGACAACTAGATGAGGAAAGACGAACTTATTGTATTCGGAATTCGAAATCGGACAGTCTCCAAGTACAAAGGTATCATTAATTTGACAAACTACATGGACCTGTCAGTCGTATGAATTGAGGAATAAGATTTGCGAAAACATTGAGAATTCTGTCTGATTTATCGCATTGAATATAACATAACATCGCGTTCCATTATTTCTGTAATATCCAATAAAATATTCAATGTAATATTGAATAATGCTTCAATCTTAGTGTAAACAACCTGTTTGTATAATGAACAAACATATTTCTATTGACCTCTTTTGTTTACAGAATCAGCTATGATTATACTTTGTTATGGTTTATCACCTTATTGCATATCGTTAATCAAATAATATGATTATACATATATGTACACATATAGTTTATTCTGTTTAGTGAGCGTTATATGAAAGTTGATTAGAATAAAACAACACCGCTTTCTCATACTTTGTTGTTTGTTTGGCTGATAATCACCTACGTACAAAGATCAAAAATGAGTGCAATTCTCATCTTACAAATTATTACTACTTTTCTAAAAAGAAGATGAAGTGAAAACAAATCTTCTGGTTGACAATTCATAGATGGTCTTACTTCAGTTATGAATAAACACTCTAATCATTTACCATCTCAGTTGTATTGTTCAAATAACTTCATATTTTATGATAAGGATAAGTCTCTGGTGTGATTCGTGTTTAATCACACTTCCGATAGACTTACATACACTGGATGATTTTTATATTGCAAAATATGGAGTATATCTCTCCGATGATGCAAAATTAAACTACTATGGTGAATGCGATACTGCTTGAATCCATGTATCAATCTGGGATAGGCCACCATTTAAAACCTGGAATCGCCGGAAAACCGTTTAGTATAATACTCATGAATCACAATGTTAAAATTACTGCAATCTCAACGGATACCGACTCTGACAATATTATATGCTGTTTAAAGTTTTGTCAGAAAAAGATATGTGTTATATATATTCCGTCATTCGATGCCAGTATTAACCTTAACACTCCATTTAGAGAAAATCTGAATGACAATAAAAGCTTTCTATAACTTCGTAAGTTTTCCGGTATATAAATATTGTTTTAATAGTTTGACAGCTACTTCATTTTAATTAACGTACAAGCTCTCGGATAACTGTCTAGGTGGGTTGGATACGCGCTCTTGCTCATTTGAAAGCAAAACAATGTGATTGTGTAAACGTACCGTTTTGAAATTCATTAAAAGTTCAAATGTACCCCATTTAACTAAACAAATATGACCACACAGCTATTCAATCAATAATTGTTCAATGAATGAAATCTAAATTACAATAAATAAGGAAGTTGATAAAGGATGCGAGAATATTACTAATCCCAACTAATCAATGTTATTACATCCTGTTTGGCTAGATCATGGACAGATTCTTTCAAAAGATACTATTTCATTGCTTTATAACACATAGTGTTTCCAATTCTGGAATTGTGCCTCAATTCACAATCAAAAATGTTCCATTCTATTCAATACAAGAATCACAATGAAATAGAGGAACAAACCAATATGGCTGCTGCCAAGACTTAGTGTCAAGTAAACACACCAATAATGCAGTTCAGAAAGAAACACAGAAACTTTGTGAAGGCGAAAGAAAAATAAAAACTATCATAAAGTACAAATAATAATAACAACACAAATGGAATCAAAAAGAATAAGAAAATGTAAAACTAAAGGAATCATTAGGAACAAACTACAAATATACATACGGATGGATCTTCGCACACTCTCAAAACCTTAAAAAATAGATCTTACAGGATGTATTATTCCATTTAAGACATCAGTGACAAATGTTGTCTAAACGAATTATTCTTTTTAAAATCAATGTTAGACAAAGAGAAGAGTGCATAGCAAAAGTAATCAGTTTAAAAACGTTTATTTAAACTGAAAGGATAAAAGCTATGATACTTTACAAAACTAGTTATTTCACACTAGATTAGTTTCTCATAAATCCAGCTTGAGTATCAGCTAGACCCTTTAAATTTATTTCATATTCAACACATTCATAACAGTTAATTAATAACAGTCCGTCAATTAACAGTCAACTGAACGATGTCAATTTCGAATGATATTTTTCAGTATTGAGACTTTAAGAGAATGAACATTATCAACGGACTCATTTTTCATTTCAATGGTCACATGGTCAAGTATACACGATACTGTTGATTGAGAAGTGCAATGTTGTAACCTCTTGTGAAATTATCCATGTTTTTATTGTGTGAAATAAATACAAAAAAATATAGTTTTATATTCTAACAAGAAAGTGACATCAGTCATTAAGTAAACAATCATTAATGTGATATGCAGTTCCGTGGAACAATCTTCAATTCATTGAAATAATTAACAAAATAGCAAGTGTGTTCACAAAACCACAAAATGAAAATAACAAAGTAAACTTGATGAAAACAATTGAGAAGCTGTTTGTTGGGACTATGGATGAACTCTCTTCCTTTTGTTGAACCATAGCCAAATGCCACCGACAATGCATACAATAAGGAGAGATATAACTAATGGTACAACGACGTACGCATATTGCAGTGATTTTCTTTCCTCAGTGTCTTCAGTTGTATCTGTGGTCATGTTCTGAAAATAACGAGATAGTATAATGATTTCAAGACATCAAATATTTACCAAATGTGATTCAGTGCTTCCACTAGTCTTCTTCAGATCAGTTTCAGTAGTTGCTAGAGTTGTTGTATCTGTAGTCATGTTCTAAAATGAACGAAATAGTATAATGATTACAAAATGTCAAACATTTACCAAATGTGATTCAGTGCTTCCACTAGTCTTCTTCAGATCAGTTTCAGTAGTTGCTAGAGTTGTTGTATCTGTAGTCATGTTCTAAAATGAACGAAATAGTATAATGATTACAAAATGTCAAACATTTACCAAATGTGATTCAGTGCTTCCACTAGTCTTCTTCAATTCATTTCCCAGATCAGTTTCAGTAGTTGCTGCAAGTGTTGGTGTAGTGGGAACCGTGACAATCGAGCTCTTTAGAAAAAAGAAACAGTGGAAATATAATTAAATATCAAGTATTTCATTAATCATTATACACCATTGTCAGTGTTGATGAGAGAAGTGAATTCAACAATTTGTATCACATGGGTTTTGTGGAGATCGTAGTAACTTAAATGGTTAAGATCATGAGTCATTTGGAGCTAGACTCACATGGAAAACGTGGAAGTACTGGATGTCCGTTTCGTCCTACTGGGGGACTCCTCAGCAGTGCGCATACACGACCTCATCCTCTGCGAGAGTCGAACTCAGGACCTACACTTGACCACTAGAACGCTGAGCCGGTATCCAACGGTGTTAATGTCTAACTTCAACTAATCAACGAAATTGAGCGACACATTCACCATTGTCTTCAGTGAGTTACTATCCTGAGTTCGAATCTCGCAGTGGCGACGTCGTTGATTATCATTTCTGAGGAGTCCCACAGTAGAACAAAACGGACGGCAAGTGTTTCCAGGTTTTCCATGGTGGTCTAGTTTCAACTGACTCATGATCTTAACCATTGAAATTTGCAACATAATTTACATTTGAAATATGTGTTCAATGAATAATGATTTAGGATATTTGCTACTGATTTGACTGTCAATCTGATTAGTACATCATTCAAACGAATCTCATCGGCATTTTATAACACTACACACATAAAGACGGTTTCATATTGGACATCTAGAATCATTACACTTTCTATGAGCGGAAGAATTCCCATTTTTCCAAGCTTAAGTGCTAAACGACGCTTTTATTGATTGTTAAATGTCCACATGGAAACATAACATCGTACTCAAATCTGATTGAACATCATCAACGTATACAAAACACTACTTGTTTGCAACAAACAATGTCCTTCCGAGTAAATGGATTTACAACGTAGAATATGGTAATATTAAAATAATCCGTGCAGTCTATCAATTACTTACTTTGCCCTGGCAACCATTTACTTTGAATTTATGAATATCCTTATCGTTGCTAGTAATGCACATGTTGGCTGTTTCACACCAAATGCACATTGTATTTGATGTTATTGCGTCTTGACATGCTTCACTCGAAACGTGTTTTGGACAATCTATCGTTGGAAGAATGAGTTGATTGTGTAACAAAGTATGAAACAAAAAATGGGTGGATTACAAAACACATAACTGTAACTCGATGATATAATGATTATTTCGAAATTAGCCGACTATTTCATTCACTGGGTGTTTGTGATCACCTCGCACAATAAGGAATTCAGCACACTTTCATTGACATTCACATTACACGACAACATTTTGGTTTTCAATGCAAATACATCCATAATTTGCAACATTTTATTCAACAAATATTAGGGTCGATCTAAACATTACATTATGGAATGATTCACATGATGCACCGAAATTTTTTTGTCATTATTCAGTGTACGTATTCATGAGAAAGAGAACTCCTTCATATCATGTCATTCACATTTAACGACAACACCTCGCAACTGAATGAAACTTAGTTGAGTGTCCAACGATGAGTATTGACTTGCAGATTTGTAGATTTTGATGACTGTTCGCATTCAGAAATGTATGCACTATGTTGTCACCTGGTTCAGCAAAGCCGATTGCATTTACTTTCTAACTGATTTTGAGTTTCATTCATTTATATCAGTCTAATGACAAAAACGTAACTTGTATACCGCTTCAACTAGTGAAAACTAATAAATAACATTTTCAACTCACTCACACTATTTTGAAATCCGTGCAAGAAAGTCAGTTGCCACCAAACTTTAAATTTATTTATAATTACATTAATTTGATTGAAAAACGAAATTTCAGTCTACCTATCGTAATGGACTGTTTTAAATTATGTGATCACATTATACTCTGTATGCTGTTGGCTAGCGCGTCACGCTAGTTGGATCAGGAACATTCATCGATATTGGATTATATTTTATTCGACGAATATTGGAGTCAACCCGAACATTAGTTTATGGAATGATTTTCTCAGTCGCAGTGATATTATTTCATTACTACAACGCATGACGAACATAATAATGTTTGCGAATACTCATCATACATATCAGTGAGAAAGGAAACACTTACCTAACATGAAAATCTTCAGTATTTTTGATACTGTACAAGTATCAACTACTTATGGTATATCGAAATCTGAACACCTGACTTGTCTACAGGTCAAATTTATCGGATGAACAAGATGACGTATAGATTTTGGAAAGTAAGCGATTGTTTCGAAGTTAAATACAATTTCAAGACATTTTTCTGCGATTAAAACAGCTCTGGTAATTTCAATATCACATTCGAGAAGTTGAAAAACTATGGACACTTCCAAGTCAATGAACAATCAACTAACGGACACACATTATCTCATCTATCGTCTTGTAAAATTATGTACGCTGAAGTGAATTTCGCGAACAGGAGAACGTGTAAGACATCAGTGCTTAATCCTTTTAAATATTGAACAGAGAATTCACGTATAGAATAACGTCATTTGATACTAGTAGCCAAATTTCATTTTAATACTTACTGAAATTTCACATAAAATTTTCAGATTTTGGAAAAAAAGTTGATGCATTCAACTGTGAAAATAGTCAATTCTGACACAATGAGGTTTAACATACCCCCGAGGGCTTCAAACTCCATCAACGTTCCACTTTGGATCCATTTCATAGGAACATATATTTCAGTTCCCTTGAAACTTTGTGAAATAAATTTTTTAAAAAAAACAACTGAAATTGAGCTTATGGAGCGACTGTTATAAAGTGAAAACGACTTCTCTGAATATTCATGCTGAAGATATTCACACGCCATAGTTAAGTTTCTCAGCAAACCATGTTTGGCGTGCAACAGCAGACGTGGATCGTGTAATTCATTGTTTACGGAATTCAGCAAATACAACCGAAACAACACCAACAAGATTTCATCAAGACAACGTAAATCGTTTATGTGATACTTACAAAGATGACGGTTGTTCAGAAAAAGACTTGATTTAAATTCCTACGAATTCAGTGATTCACTGTATAAAAGACCTAATGACCTATGAAATTAAACCACGATTCAATATGTGAAAACAAATCGTCCACGTTGAATTTTCAATAAACAGTAGAGTTTGAACGAGAGGTTTACCACAAGCAGTCCGATTTTGTTTCACACGTTTTTCTTCAACACTTCAATGACACTTCGGCCAATCTGTTTTCACACGAAAATACTGAACAAAATGGAGTGGTTCGGTTGTTGTAAATGAGGATGTAAATGACATTCGCAACCTTCTTATCCACACCGAATCCGCCTGAAAATTTAGTCTGTGACAACTCCAATTTGATTCCCGGCCATTGTAGAGATCGAGAGAGTAGTACTGAAAATACACGGTGGACAGGTAGTGAAAAGATTAGAATGTCCAATAGGTTCATTCCCAAAAGCACAATTCAAAACATAAATGAATTTTGCCGCTGAGCGGTTGCCAGTCACTCTCTTCAGAACATGATAATCATGGTCTGAACAAGGTTTAACCTCTTTGAGAAATGTGAATGGACCTTTGAAGAGGGTTTAACATAACATTCTCTGAGGACATGTTGATACATAATAGTATGTCATACACGAATATATCAAAGTAGATGTGAAAGAGTGAAAGAAGCAGACAGAAATCATGACAATTACAAGTGACACAATGTTGTTACGTAAAACAATCTTACGGAATCGCACTATAATATCAGTTGTACGTTACATGTGGTGGCTTATTACTGTTACAGATGTTACATTCTATTTAAAAATGTTCATAAGATGAAGTTTATGTAATGCGAATGGCGACAATACCGATGTACAATGTGTCTAGTTGATGTTGATTTAAATTTGGAAGTTACTCTGATGTCAAATATAACATTACGATATTTTACTAACAAGCATTACAGTGATCCGTTTCTATTTGAAGTAAGATGACCAGAATATTTTCAGCAAAACTATTCCTTTGCCAACACAATCGAATAACGACCACAAACGAACTTAAAATATAACATCATGGTAATTCATAGCAAATGCAAAGCAAATCTTCAAATTAATGCAGCGAACATTGAACGACGAATACAGACATTTTGATTTTTAATCACTTCATTTCACAAAAAGAACCTTCAAATGGTTTCATTATCAAAATATTGAGCAACAAATTGATAGTTGGCACCGTCATTTTTTATTCGAATGAATGCTACAATTGTGTATCAAATATGTATCAAACACATCATTCACGTTGAACTTTTAATAAACAGTAGTGTTTGGACGGTGAATTTGCCACAAATATTCGGATTTTATCTCACAAGTTTTTCATCAACACTTCAACGACACTTCGGCCAATCTGTTTTCACACGACACTAATGAATAATGTAGACTGTAAGAAAGTTATATTAGACCACTATGACAGAATACAAGAAATTTCTGTATTGACGTGATGATCAAAGGCTACATAAAAAAGTTAATATTGGGCTAACACATGACTGCTTGTGTAAGTCGGTGTAAATCAGAATGTCAATAACATTTGTTACTTTTTTCTCCACACTGAATCTTCCCGAAAAGTTTGGTTTCCTTTTGGTTTTCCTCAATTACTTTAGGAATCTGAAAAGAAGTAACGGAAGTCTGAGTAAAGATTTGTCAACCCAAAACCAACCAATCACTGAAGGAGTGTGTCGTCATTCACATCACTTCACACAAAGACAACTATTTACACAGTAAGCATACGTATCTCTCCAGTTTCCTCAGGAGTATGCCTCATCTAGTCTACGAGGATAATCTGATTGACTTCAATTGTCAAGCTCAATGAAATCCAGTTAACGATTTATCTACCATGCAATGATGCGCTACACTTTGAGATGAATATCTTCGTCACCTGAAGGCAATGTGATTGCGAATAACTGCAATGCTGCTGCACGTGAATTTGTTGTCATGTGGAGGAATTGTGGTAATGTACTCACTTCTATTTATTACCGTACATACAATTCCTGAAAACCTCAAAGCAATCAAACTGGATTTAGTTCAACACAACTGAAATCTTTATTCTCAGCTGCACTTTCTACTTACCACACATCTGTTGTATTTTAAATTGGTGAAGTACTAAATGCATACATTCGAACAAGTACACACTGAGAGACGATCAAGACTTTAACATTTTATCTCGGAGATTATTTGGCAATGAAATTTTCAATTAGCTGAACTTCAGAAGACGTAGTGAAGCTTTATAGAAAATGACTGTGTTGGAAAGTACCATAAAATACATTGTTGTCCTTAATCGACTCAATTATGTCAGAATTTCTATCGATAACATTTGACTTCCTGTAATTCATTGTTTGAAAAAACTGCTAAAATTAAATGTGTCATTACGGAGTTAATAATGGAGTCGTATAGTATGTGTACACGTTAAAAAATGTTGATATCCTTCTATCGTGTTCAATGTATCTTGATGCATTCGACAGTGCTGATTTGCGCAAAGTGAGATAATAATCCGAAATACATGAAACAACACCACATTACTATTCAGTTGTGCAACTTACGTTCTCATAATAGATTGATATCTTCCCATTCGTATGTATCAGAATAGTTATAGTGAATGCAGAAACTACAAGCAGAAGACCATAGTTATTTAGAATTTGAGGTGTTGATGATTAGCATGTCACTGTTAGATGCGAAACTGTATGTGCCTACATGCAAAGTGATCAGTTTTAGGCAGGTATTTTCTTCGTTATCTTAAATGTTTTCTTCGGTAGAATTCGTTATAAATATAGTCTAGTGAACATCGTGTAAATCAAGGAAGCATGCACTCTTCAATATAAATGTCAGATAACTAGGTTTCGAAGCTGTATTACTACCCAGTTTTCATATCGAAATTACAAACCATCAAGCGTACAATTAAATCTGATCGTTGTGGAGGTATTGACATTTGCTCAACACTCATTATAATTAACCCAGAAAACATCCACCCTTAGTACACATGAAATTAGCTATGTTTTGTATGTTCACAAATAGATCATGGTAACTTATTCGGTTTATGAGTGTTCCGTAACAATGGAAAATGAATAGCTTCAGATTATTTGTCATGGTGATTTCTTAATTTGAGTGAATACGTTTTAGGAATGACCGTGTGATGAGTAACACAAATTTACTTATTTCAGAAGACAGACTTCCGATCAAGCGGCATTGA